CCAAGCTGTGGTAGGTGTAAGAGGAGGTATTTCTAATTCATGTTGGTTATTAAGTTGAGCTATTGCTGAGTTAAAATATGCTGGGATATCCTGGCCAACCTTGATAGAATATTTAACTGTTCTTATTATATTCCCAAGTTTCTTGAGCTATAATGAAGTTGGGTGGCTTTGGGTGAGAATGTATGCTAAAAGTTGTGTACTGTGAACCTTTTGTTAGGAATATGTTTAAGTGCAGCTATAATTACACTTGTTTAAATTTTGTGCCATGTAGTCTCCAGTGATTCAGAAGTGAGTAAAACAAGAGGTGAGTGGTGCTGTCACAAATTAGAGGATACTTGGTTTGCAAAGTCTTCCTATTTTTCCTGGTTCATTACTTTGTAGTCAAAAATACGTCTCCGAGTGCGTGTCTTGTGTCTTTGTTGCCCTGTCCATGTATAGAGAAAAGGCCAGTGAGAGATTAGAATCTTGTGATCACTTTGGGTACTTGTATTTGGGTTATCGGTATCATAATATGTAAGTTATTGGAGAATTGATTGGTAGGTCCATTTAAAGTCAATCTCACTACTGAGATTGGCTCTATGCCATGTGTAAGTCGATTTATTTGAGTGTGAAGCTAAATCATACATGTTGTTGTAAGCTAGATATTGAAGGAGCTTGAGCTTAATAGATTGAGAGTGAATATTGTCTGCACTTGCATTAAAGTCTCCCAAGACAATTGGGTAGATATTAGATACTTTGGCCTGTTGTAACCATTGAATTATAGTATTTTGGGTTTGAAAACGGAGTTGTGCATCATTACTGGAAGGTAAAGAAAGATAATTCGGAACTTAAAGTCATGTTTGAAGAAGAGGTCAATTGCTATTGCATATCCAGGGACTGTACTAATGTTATGAATGTGAGGAGCAAGATAATTGCAAATCATGATTGCTGTTCCTGCTTTGGAGCTATCTGTGCAAGACCACAAGTAAGTGTAATGCTGTGTTTTGTATCATTTACATGAAATAGAACAGCTAGAGAGTTTAGTTTCTGTGATACTAATAATGTGTAAATTTTGTTGTAGGCAATATTGTTCCCAGGTTTCTTTTTTAGTATTTATATTAAATACTTGTATATTGTGTATGCAAATTGAGAGTGTGAGAGGCTGAAGTAGATTTGATTAAGAAGTTTGTGCTTGTGTATTGTATAAATTACTCATTGAAGTGTTCATTTGTATCCATTGGTATTGGGCTGACCAATGGTGAGTTATTGCTGTTGGTAGATATAGTTTCAGCTTGAGTTAAAAGTGCTGCTAGAGAGTGAGGAGTTGTAGTAGCAGTATCCTCTACCATAGATATTGGAATAGATGCCTGGGCCTCTGCAAAGGATTGTATTGTGCTGAGAGTAGTTGGAGTAGGTGGTGGTGGTGTATAACTAAATATCCCCAGGCTGGGGTTGGGATAGGAGGGAGGTCTAGCAAGAAGTCTGGAATCTTTTTAATTGTGTAAAATTGTCTGAGAGCTTGCATAGTTAAGGTGATTTCTGATTGTTTTTTGATTGGAAGTGAAACAATAACTTCCTCTTTAGACAGAATTTTAATGATTTCCTCAATATCTTCTGGGATACTAGGAAGAGCATTTTGGCTATTTGAGGCCGTATTATCAGAGTTAGTTGGGGGGCTGTTGATTTGAATCCAGTCTGAAGGGAGCTGAGTAAAGTAGTAGTATTTGCAAAGGAGTTTTGCAGTGGCTGTAAGTTCTTGTGTAGATTTGATTGGGAAGGTAATACTATAAAGTTTAGTAATTTCTTCTGTGTCTAGCAGAGCAGGTTTGTTGGTAGGGTTGGCTTGCATAATTGTGGTGAGAAAAGGGAGTTGGACTTTGTAAAAAGGAGAGATTTGCCTTATAAACTCTTTGGCCTCTGCATTATTTGTAATTAGAAAGTTGAAGGCAGTTTTAGTTCTAATCTTGCTAATATCAGTAGAAAGTGGGGGCTTGACTGTGAAGAAGTCATTAGGCAGTAGCTTAACTATATAGAATTCTCTGAGTTGAGAAACAATGTCAGCTAGAGGTGTAGGTAAAGTAGCTTGGTTGAAAGAGAAGAATTTTCAGACTTTATGGTTAAGCTCCTGGTATGTTGTAGAAAGAGGTATCTTTTTTGGTGGTAAATCAAAGAATGAGTCTGAGATCTTGGTAGCAGTATATGAGTTAGCAAGCTTTCTTTTGTACAAAGAAAGGTACTGAAGTGAGGATCTGTGTGAAATAGGGAACAATTGGCGCAAGTTGGGTGGGAGTTCATTATAGTGGGAGGGTAATTGAGGAAGTTTGACGAAGTATACATCAGGGAGCTCTGAGAATTTGTAAATTCTTCTTAAAGCATTTACCACAGCTTGATGAGAAGTTGAAAAGCTAAGATTTCCTGAACCTCATGGGATATCTCCTCTGGTGTATCAGGTAATGGAATGAGTTTATTTTCGAGTGCTTTGTTGATATGAGCTCTAATTTCTCTGGGAGTTTGCTTACTAGTGTTTTTGATCTTTAGGAACCCTCTAGCATACCAGATGGCACTGCATATACCCCTGTATGTAGTTCTATTGAAGTTGAGATTTGAAAGATACTGGGCTATAAACCACTTTCTAAGCATTGTGTGAATAGTATCATGGGTAGCAGTGTTAGTAAGTGTGATCTTGTGATCCTGTTTATATGCTGCTAGGGCTCTGTTGAAAATCTCATTGTATTCTTTTTGATATACAGGGGTGGTCTTGGGGTTGCAAGTGAAGGTAGTAAAGAATCTGGTATCCTGGTGAGTAAACTTGAGAGCAATTGCTTTAGGAAGCTTGTGCTGTGTTGGAGTAGTAATAAGCTTGTGGCTAGTAAATTCATAAATGCCTTCAGGGGTTTCGAGTGCTTTGGTAATTTTTTCTACGGTCCAATAATTAGTGTCAAAGGGTGTGTTAATAGG